CAAAACCCCAAAACCCCAAAACCCCAAAACCCCGTCAGCGAGGAATTTCTGTAATTTTAAATTATGTTTATGCTTAAATAAAAAGAAATAAGTTGGTTTGCTTTAAAGAATGTTGATTATTACGATTCTCTCATTTACCCTTAATCTCAAGAATTAATTCAAAGAGTTCAATTTCATTTGTAAGTAACTGGACAAAGTTAGTATCCTCAGAGTTCTTCTATCTCTCAAAGATCTCTCTAAGTCTAAATAAGTCTGACTATCTTCCAAGGAATGAAGGGGAAAGATAAGTAAAGAATACTCTAGAGTAGTCTCTATGATGTGCAGCGAATACACTTTCGACTGAATCATAGAAGTGATCTGCTATTTCCTAGCATTGCTTGATGTTATTGAAGTCATAGAGATGTTTTGATGATGCTTCAAGTCCCTTTACATTAAATGTACTTCCATGGATATAAGTATCCCAAAGTTTGAATTTATTCTCATTATCTGATAATGAGGCTAAGCATCCGAACTCCTGGAGAAGGTCAAAATCAGAAAAGTCAGTTGATTTTTCTTTCTCTAGTAACTCTTATTTATGAGCGAGTTCAATTGATGGGTTCTTAAAGATAAGCTTAATGAGTGCGTATCTTTATTCTTTATTAAGTTGAATTACTTTCTTATTCAGCTTAATTTGAGATTCAGCAAGCCACTGCATTGGAAGTTCAGATTGATCATATTGCATGAGACTTAACATTTCCTGAAGTAGAAGATTTTCCATTGATTGAGTTGGGCAGTTCTTTTCAATCTTTTCTAAAAGCATCATATAAAGATTGATAGCATATTCATTTCTCTTATCATCTGAAGCCAAGTTCCTAATGACATGTTGTAAAGTTGTTAGAACTGTAGTCATTGTGTATTCTTCTGTTTCATTTAGTAGATGGCTTTCGACACATTAAATAAATTGTTCAGGCTTAACAACCTTGATGGCAAGGTTATCGCACAATATTCTCCAGATATATGATCTGTTAAGTGTGTCAGTAATCTTCGATAAATTTTGAAGGAAAAACTTAAGTGATTCCTGATCAAGTACTGTTCTACAATATCCTTTATTGTTTGCATTGATAAGAATAGCAGCTGGAGCTTTCTCTAATCCTTGAATAATATCTTTTGTTATTCCATCAGGCTGAATTCTTACATCGCTTAGAATTCTTTGATTGCAATCTTTATCATAAATAGCCACATCCATTATTTACTCATGATAAACTTAGTCTCCGAATCTTGGATAAGATTAGTTTATATGGATTGTGAAGGCTAATCTTCCAGCTCTCTTTTCAACTTCAGCAGTGAGTTCATTAACTCCTGCCTTAGTCAGCCAAGAATCAGTCCATTCTTAAAGATTAAATTCTTACTCTCTTCTTGTAAGTGCTATTTAAAGAGCATCAATAAAATCTGTTAAGGTGCAAGCTTTAAATGCATTTTTGTCAAAATACAATTTAATTCCATCCTTCATCACTTCTCTACCAAGGAAATGGTCCATTTATCTGAGGAAAGCAGCTCCTTTTCTGTAGCAAATCTTGTCGAAGACATTAAAGGCATCATTAGTATGATTAACAGTAACTTAAATAGGATGAGTGGATTTCTTAGTATCTTCATTTAGTGCTTCTGTGACAAAGTGAAGAGAGAATTGATCTGGATTTTAAACATGTTTAAATTCCTCACACTCAGTTAAGCAAACTGAAGCACAGTAATCTGCAAAGCTTTCTTTAAGCCAAAGATCATTCCACCATTTTATAGTCACTAAATCTCCAAACCACATATGAGATAGCTCATGCACTGCTACTTTGTACCATTACTAGAACTCAAAGAATGTCTTTTCTTCGTTTGGTAGCAAAAAAGAATCTCTCATCATTATACAACCTACATTTTCCATTCCACTTATTCTGAACTCGGGAATGAAGACCTAGTCATACTTTTTCCAAGGGAAAGGTGTTTGGAAGAGCCCTTCAAAGAAATTGACTGCAATCTCTATTGTTCTAAATCTTTCTTTGACATCTGCGTATCTAATTTTAGATTTTCTGCAATAAATTTTCATCGGAACTTTGAATCCAGTCTCATTTTAAAAGCTACAATATGGCCCAGCCGCTAGTGCATAGATATAGGTACTAATTGGAGGACTTTATTCAAATATTATCAAGTTTCCTTGTTCTGGAATTTGAAGTCTCTCTAATGCATCGCTTAGATGCTCTTACTCGAGGATAGATCTTGAAATAACTGATTCCAGATTTAGAGTTTGCTAGATATTTTCATTAGAGATCACTTACCACCTAGGATCAGGAGTAACTACATTCAGCTTAAATGGAGCTCTCAAGCTTGGTTAATCAAAGCAGGGGAACCATCTATGGCAAAAGAATGGCTCTAAGTGGGTATATAAATAGACTTCCTTATCAATTGGATCCTCATATCTATGGAATCCGGCGCTGTTAGATACATATTTATTTTAGAAACGAACGGTGACTCTGTTCATCTAATTATGCTTAAGATTGTACTATGGGATATAAATTCTATGTTTGGAAAATCTAATGTTTGGCTACTGTATCTTGGTCTCATTTACATGAAGATCAGTGACTCCAACTCCTTGGAAATCAAGGAATAGCTCATCAATATTTTTATCTTTGACAAAAAAGTCTATCATTACTTTTCCTTCGAAAGATTCTCCTTTTCCTAATACTAGAAATAGCTCATATCTAACTTTAGATATCATATGGTCTCTCATTCTAGCTTATTTGTGATAGAGAGGGATATTTTGTTGAGAAAATTGTGGGTCATACATGAAAACTTTGTCAAACTTTGCGTTGGCAACTTTATCGTTCTATGTTTTTGCGTAATAGTAGCCAGAGAACAAAGATCCTGCTACCAATGAGGTAAGTACCATCTTTTTATTTGATTCTGCAAATTATATTATTTTCTCCATTAGAAAAATCAAGCTCTTCGGGGTTTTGGGGTTTTGGGGTTTTGGGG